GTGTTGAAAGGATGAACACTGTGTTCTCATCAGTCTGTGTGAGCAGTCTCTCACACAGCAGCAGGCTGCGCCCACACAGTAATGAGGTTAGCAGCACTTTGACTCGCTTTAGATCTGAGTTGTGTGACACCAGCCAGCTGACTGTGACTGCCTAGCACGAGCAGGAGAGCCCCTGACGGACTTATGTCGTAAGTCCGTTACTAAAAGAGAGGATTGCGTGAACAAACGGCGCCCAGTCGTGTTTTATCCTCCGGAAGAGTTGAACAGATTGATTCGCGCTAATTAGAGATTACAGGTATTGCTGTTTTGTTCTGGACCTGTAGGTGCTGCAGAGTAGTTGCTGGACTGGCACGTTAGTTGTTGCCTTCTCACTCTCAGTCACTTGTTGGCTTGTGATATCATCACCGTGGTGTGTCGAAGAGCCCAAGAGAAAATCAAGACTCAAAAAAATTATGTCGCATGACTTGTGTCTTGAAGCGGAGAAGCATAGATAAATGGATTTGTTTTTAAATCCCCACTCAAAGCTGTTTGTTTTGACAAATCTCTTGCATGCTTGCTCCCTTCAGTTTTTGCCCACAATTCCCCAACATATCTGTAAAAATGACAGCTCTGTGACAGCAACCTTGAAAACCCAGAGCCTCATGCAGCGTGTATGCATCTCTTTTTTTTTTTTTTTTTTGTGTCAGGAGACATGTCGAGTGTGTCTTGGCTGAGGGAGTCGTTGAGAAATGGGACATGAGGAACGCAGGGTTGGAGTAAAGAGCAGGTGACAGTCGACAAGCAGCAGAGAGGAGGAGGCAGCGTCTGCCACTGGGAGGAGGAGAGGGAAGGGTGGGAAGATGAGAGGAGGGTGAGAATGGAGGATGACACAGAGGTGTGAGAATGAATGCAGAGTGAGAATTAAATGTCTATTTTAATACAGACAAAGTGGGAACATGGAGAATTACACTCTAACTGTACGTTCAGACGGAAAGTGGCGAAGGCGCTGGTGAAGCTTGCGGGCGCTCTGACGTCGATGACATAGACACGTTCTTGCAAACGGTATTTAAAAGGTCTGCAGAGCTTGCCTGTGCAAACTGACCACAAGCAGTGTATAAGTTAGCCAAGTGAAATCTTTTAAATTAGCGACGTTGACGTTACCAAACGATCGCATCAAGTTGTCAAGTAACAGTAACGCATGCTACGGTGTAAGCATGCAGTTCCCTCCCATTTCACAAAATGTTTTATAGCCTACACTTCACCAACTCACCTGGAACACCTACAACGTCAGACGCCTTTGTCCATGCATCTTTTTTTTAATTTAAGTGCCTGTAAGCTAACAGGCAGACGCCGGGTCACATCAATGACTTCTGGTCAGTTTGACGTTCCCGCTGCTTTCTGTGTGAACCTACAGTAATGCTATACAGGGACAGATACAGTAGATAAACTCAGATCTATAATTTTTGGAAAGTTACAGTGCTGAGAGTTATTATTTGACACATGGGAATTAATGAAGCACTTAAACTGAAATTGTGACTTTAAAGGAATATTTAAAAATATTGGAAAATATTCTTATTCACTTTCTTGCTGGGAGTTATAGGTTGATACCATTCTCATATCTGTCCAGTAAGTATAATATTCTGACTAGCAGTTAGCAGCAGTTACAAATAGCAAGCACAATAAATGCACCTAATGCTGAGAGTGAAGACTGTTTACTGTAGCTCATGTGGAGAATATTGTTTGTTCTGTGGACTGTGTCCCTCATGTGTTTTCATGGCACTGTAGACAGCATATAGTACAGTATGGACTCCATTTAAGGCTTTTCATTGAACCTCAGGTCCTGAACTCTTTGAAACGTGCTGCACAAACACAAAAACATCTAGATGAGTAGCTGAGTCACAGCAGATGACTCACTGCGTCTCCCAAATCCTAAATTTCCTCATAACTTATATATGCACCGGCTGCACCTCGAGGGAGAAGGATCCAGGCTTTTCTCCTTGAACCTTCTCCTTTAATTTCCTCGGGAGGAGAATGAACAGAGGAGTCACAGCGCTAAGAAAAATGCTTTGTTTCTGTCATTGAGAAATAACAGTTTTTCATGTCGAGTCTGGAGAGCACTCTTCCTGCAGGAGGATTTTCTCTCTCACAGCGGTTTTGGTTACTGCTGCACTTCAATGACAAGTGTGTGTGTGTGTGTGTGTGTGTGTGTGTGTGTGTGTGTGTGTGAGTGTGTTTGTGAATAAAAGAGCAGCTGACAGAGGCTCTTATAGACTTAAATCATTGCAGTTTCTTTTCTGAAGCTATTGGCTGAAAGACACTACAAGAAGAAGCACATTCTTTACATCTGAAAATTAGGACTTTAATAAAGATTTGAGGTTTGTACACGACACATTCAGAACAATACAACACCGTACAAGACATGGACATACAGTATTTATACAAACGACAACATGAAAACAGACTGATACCAATGCATACAGTGGAAAAAAAAAACAAACAGTTGGCATTTAAAAAAAGACAAACAGTGCAGATAGAGTTAAAAAGCTTAGTTTTCAGTTTCAATAATCATAAACATAATAATGCCACATCACTATCAAAAAGCCCCAAAAAAAGCTCTGACATGAGCTGAGCAGACACCAGGCATAATATTAATAATAAGACGGCAGACTGAGAGGCATCATCAAAGACACTGTTAGGCACAGCAAGATGATTTTGACCTGATTTAGCATCGGTTTGGCGGCACTGCACAGAAGTTTCTCGTCCTGCGTTGGTGTTTTTTCAAATGTTTTGTCAAACCTCTTAAATCTCAAAAACTCACCGTGGAACTCACAGAGGAGCTCATGCTTAATTAGTTCAAAAATATCTCGTAGTGTGAATTTTTCATCAGCATAATACATTTGATGATTTGTTAACATGGGTACAAACACCCTGACAGGCACTTTCCACTAAGGATCATTTTGATGTGAGGGAGTAGCCAGTGTTCTAGAAGTTTTTGAAATGAACAATCTGTATTTAACACCGTGTCTCGTACGACCGTTGAGATCAGCCGTCCAAAGGTTCTCGCGGTACAAACGTGGTCTTAGGTGGATTTTTCAGAAACACACGGGATGCGAGACGAGACGCGTTACAAACGTACAGTAACAACTCATGCATGGAATGTAGGAAGGTTGGAAGAGCTGGAGGTTGCAGGTTGTTCATTTATCACATTACTGAGTGGTTGCATGTATAAAAACTGCAAAGAGAAAACAGTCGATATTTAAGAATGTTAAAATTACTATGAGTGCATTATGAAAATTTGAAAGTAATATAAGTATATGTGAGTTTTGAAGGTTGCATTCAAGACCATCAATTTAAAAAAACTAAGTGAACAACAAGATTAAGCCAAAGGGTTTTTTGATTACACCACATAGTTTGACCTTGATTTTCTAAATGTGTACAGAATGACATAAATGGGGCAAAAGCTTGACAAGAAGTGTGCAGATGCGTCCAAAGAAAAAAAGAGGAGTATTCTGCTAATGATGGTGCTTTCCTTAGGGAATAAGATGTCTTGATTTAGATTTGTTCAGTTCACTCGTTTAGGGAACAAAAAGAGACCCTCAGGCCTTCGTGGATAAACACAAAGACGAGCCACAGAGGCGTGGATTCAGGAGGCACTCTCCTCTTTCGTGAAACTTGTGAGAAACATATTGCAGTGGCAAGACATTACAAGTATATGAATACATCATGCAGAGGTGAAAGCGATGTAGCATCGCTCCTAACAAGGGCCTGATCCTTCTATCTTTCCCCGTGTCCTCCCTCTTTCCTTTCTCTTTCATCATCTACTGCTTAATATTCCCTCCGCAGCATTTTTCATCACCTTACCTTGACTCCCAACTCTAAAGCTGTCATAGGCTTAATTAACTCCTGTCTCACCCTGCTCCACTCATGGAGGGGTTTCAGATGGCTTAACACAACTTCTGGTAGTCATAGTGGAGGTTAACAGCTCTCAGGCGACAACAGCTGGGGACAGCTCATTGGATTTATTACAACTTGGCTGTCTAAATAAAAAGAACTTTCTGCACAGTTTTGGCTGTTAAACAATGACTTCCTCAAGGATCTGATTATTTTTAAAGAAAAGTTTGTTACTATTACTTTAAAAAAGTTATGGGTATATATGATGCTACCACCGGCAGCTGGGGTAACGTAGCGTAGCATAAAGACAGGAAACGGGGGTAACCGCCTAGCTTGGCTGTATCCAACAACAAAAAAATCTGCCTATAAACATCTCTAAAGCTCACAAATGAACATGCTGTATCTCGTTTGTTTTAATCCATACAAAAACTGAAGAGTAACAACATCAATTTGCCGCTTTACAAGGGGTTATGTAACAGGCTATTTCTTGGCCTGGGACCAGAAACCTCCGGGAGTCTGTGCTGGTTGTCAGGCAACTTGTCCTGGCCAAGAATAGTTGGCACAAACTCTGCATAAAATGGCAAACTGTCATTTTTAATCTTTGGTTTTTGTACAGGTTTGACGAACGAGACATAACAAATTAACTAACGAGCTTTAAGGAGCTAGTCAGCAAGGGCGGCCATTTCCCTCCGTCTTCAGTCTTTACTCTGGGCTACTGTACAGATGTGAGAGTGATATTCCTCTTCTCATTTAACTCTCTGCTAGAAAGTCAATTAGCGTATTTCCCAAAATGTTGAATTATTCCTTTTAAGGTTTAGATACTGGCAGCTTCTTAGCTACGTAGCTAATCATACATGTTAGGGTTAGCTAAGCTTCACTGTGTTATTGCTAACAAATTTGCTCACTGGTTTAGCTAGCAGTCGGTTCAGTTGTTCGCTATGTAGACTGGTGTTAATGTTTACATTACTTTACGTAATTACACTGCTAGCTGGTTTGCTAACGAAGCATAGAGAGCAGGAGGTAGGACCAACATAAGTGAAGGTAGCCTGAATCTGGAGACAAATCTACTTTACCAGAATGTCCTTTGTTTAACTCATTAAGTACACGTAGCTTAAAATGTGACCTATACCTTTACAACTGCTAAATTTATGAGGAATCCCTTTTTTTTTTTTGGATCGGATGTGGTTGCTAGAAATTCGGTGAAGTAACTGCAAAGCTTCTACTGTGCCACATTTACATAGTTGTCAGCCCCTTCCATGTAGAGTTGATCCGAGCGCAGCAGTGCTAATAATGGGCAGATGTTATCCTACCTTCTTGACATGGCTACAACTTCCCTCCCTCATCCCCGCCCTTCTTTCACCTCCCCCTTCCTCAAAGCCTTTCGCCGTCGGTCACTGAGAGCTCCTGCTGTGTTTACTGCACGGCTCCCCCGGGTGCTTGGTGGCTCCACCGAAAACCTCGACTCCGTTCTCCGTCCACGGGGCCACGCTGCCCTGGGTTACTTTGCCGCAGCGAGCCAAGCTGGCCACCTGGCTAGAGGACAGGACCCGGTCCCAAAGACCCACTTGGGACAGCTCTCCAACCAAGGCCTGGGATGAATCAAACCCCCCGCCTAGGGAATCCTGGAGAGAAAGAAGTGTTGTTAGATGGATAACAGAGAGGAGGCTTGAAGTGGGAGCACGTGATTGAAGCGCAAAAACACTCCCGTGCTTTGTGCACTCGCTTCTGGGAAGATGAAGGACATGTGATAAACAGGGACCATTATGACTGCAGGACTCTGAAAACAAAGAAGCCTTATGGGAGGGGTTCTTTCAACCCGAGGGTCCCCTAGATTCTTACTCTTGTTGCTTAGGCCCATTTGTTTCATTGAACCAAGCACACACACACACACACCTCACTCACTAACCACCTGAACACTTTAGGAAAGCTAGTATCGTGCTCTAAACTAAACTGGTTTTGTAGATTTACTGTGCCTGCGTCCACTCCTTCAATGTCTCTAATGCTTTTGTTTTCTATACATTTTTTAGCTCACAGAGAAGCCGGTAAGTGAATAGAGCCACAGCTGTAGGCAGTAAACCGCCATTTGCTCGCACTGCTGTTGTCAGCAGAAGTCTGGAGGGCACACCAAATTACATTTCTTTTCGGAGTAAACGACTTTACCGCCCTCTAATCAGTCAAAACTTAATTTTTTCATTCAGTCTTTCCGCTCAGTCCTTCATGAATTCACCTGCTCCTGCCCCAGCATGAGCACTCCTCCAGGTCTGATATGATGTCCGGCTGCCAGTGAGTGGCCCTCGCCCCTCAGCTTTCCCCCCTGGTAGGCCTGCCAGGCTCCTCCCTTCTGGCTCCAGCTCACACAGATGTGCTGCCAGCTGCCTCTGGAGAGGTTCAGAGGTAACTGGGCCACCTAGGAATGGGAAAGCAAAAAGACGGCTCAGATGAAAGTAGATGTTTGCATTTTGGTGTTTTCCACTGTCACACATTTTGAATGTAAAAATACATTTGCATGATAGTGGTGCAGCTACATATTTTTGGCCACATCCACTTGAGTTTTTGAGTCTGTCAGGGTTTAGAAGTTGGTTGTTGTGTAGTATTTCTACAGTCCCAAAGACTTTCTGCTACCTCCAAGGACACACAGCTTTTCCTCCAGGCATCTATTACCATAATGACTTCATTGAATTATACGTAAAGGCACTGCACTGCACAACAGCACCCTGCAATGCTGTCAAGGTGGTACCTGAGTCATTTAAACACATGAATGAGGCCGTTTAGCTTGTCTGCTGAATTGGCTGTTTCATTTGATTTGTTGTGCTAATGGAGTGCACTTCTTCTTCTGTGATAGTCATTAAAAAAAATTGAATGGAGGCTATAATGTTTTTTATATACACTACAACGGGTGAAATAAAAAAAAAAAAGAGGGTGAACCTTGAAGAAAGCTGCAGTGAAACTCTTCTGTCGTCGTTATAATTTACCAGAAAACAAAGATATGGTTACTGCATCTGTCTCATGTCAGTGCTGCAGTGCATCCAGTCTCTGTGCCTTACAGGAACTTTATGAACAGTTAGCACTCTAAAGCTCACATAGGTTTTCATCCTGTCCTTAATGTTTTTATTTAAAATAAAAACTGGCCCCAGACTTTTGAGAGCACACAGAGTCACTGTTGGTATGAGAGAAATTCTACGTTTCTTGTGTAAGTGTGACATAAACATAAACATATTGCCATTCACTGAAGAAACAATTTGCATGTTAAAATATATATTTATTTGAATGCAAAGAGGAACTTGCCAGTGTTGTCTCTTCAAGCACACAAACAATGCACACTTTCTGCATGCTTTATATTCATCTCTTTATCTCTTTGTAATTCAAATATTAAGAAATGTACTGCCAGTGTGTCATTTGATATATTACACAATAATTGTCAATATTCAATAATTAATTCCAAATTAAAACTTTTGGCAGTATTTCCAGTGGCGATGCAGACTATGAAAAAAACATATCTCCATATTGCATACGTGGAATTTTGCATCTTGGCAACTAGAATTTAAACTGTCGTCTTGCACATTTACAGCCCGAGAGGTTTGTGCTGAGTTAATAAAACATTTTAGGAATTTAATCTGTAAATAATTTGAAATACGACCCATACCGTGATATAAATCTCCTCTGGGAAATCAGTCGTACCCGCAGCAGTGGACGGGTCGGGACAGATATACAGTACATGCTGGGTCTCTGGACATTAGACTGATACAGTACCTTGTCGTTGACGAGCAGCTCGGTGGGGGTGTGCAGGCCTTGCAGCAGCACCAGTTCGTTCGGCTGCTCGGCAACAGCGTAAGACAGAGGCGTCCCGATGCCCCCCTCCGCGGGCCGCAGCCACAGGCAGAGGGTGAAGGCCCGCAGCTTTGGGATGGAGTGTTTGACGACGGCGTACATGTAGTTTGTCCGTGTCGGGAAGGACAGCCTGTAGCCCTCTGGGAACGGATGCCCGGAGACACCTGGGGAAGGAGAAGGAAGAAGCTTGAGTGTGGAAACAAAAGAGGAAGGTGATGGAGAGAACGCAAAGAGAAGTCAGTTGCTTAATTTACAGTTATCTGGAAAAAGATCAAATGGACTTCCTGCTTTTCTCACTTCCTTCATATAAAAAACATCTGATCTGTTTTTCAAGCAGGGCATGAATTTAGTCTTTCTGATCTTTTTTTTTTCTTTTACATTAGTTAAACATAATTAATTCATCATAAAGAAACCCCACGGCTTGATCTGATTAAGATTAATACAAAAATGAAACCTCTGAGGTCGTTTTTATGGCAGATTATTTATCATCGTTAGTGACTCGAGCCGATGCAATGTGATTAATCACTTATATATATTACTTTATATATATTTTTTTTATCAGAATTTTTTGTATCTACTACATTTTTGAGATGTACCAGCACATACACACTCACATTTTTTTTCCTTTCTTTTAATACCTTACCTTCCTCCAGCCCTGAGAGTCGGTGGTGTAGTTTACTGAGGCCCTGGTCGATTTCCTGTCTGTGTTTCTCAGTTTCCAGCCTCAGGGCTTTTCTCTCTTTCTCCAGCAGCTCCACCTTCCTCTCCAGCTCCCCCTCCAAATCTTCCATCCTCCAGGGCCTGTCAGCGTCAGCTTCGTGCCCGGGACCAGCCGACCTTTCTGGGCTGACAGACATCTCGCCCTCCTCTGGCACTCCGGAGCTGCTGCCATCCGTCTGGTTGTGAGGAAACGGGCCAATGTCTGACTGCAGAGGAGGGAGAGGGTGCATGAGAACTGGTTTTTACCGTCTAAGGAAAATACTGCGAAGTACTCTCTCCGCTTGCTGTCGTGCTTTATCCACAGTTCATTATCATTATGTGCACACGTGAGACAAAATTCTCCCACACAATAATCAATAATTGATTTCTCTGAAACATTACATGGGGCCTGGGGAAACATCTAGGGGGCTGATTTAATAAGGTTTCACCATGTAATGTTTTTACTTCAAGGAATACTTCACCATTTCGGGACATTATAATCTGTGGTTTTACGGGATGTTATGTACATGAGTATTTCTTGGTTGGGCGCAGTCACAGTGAGGTTTCTTAGTCCCACACATAATCCCCCTTAAACACACTCAAACTGTTGCTTTTAACACCTTGTTTTCTGTGCGGACCTGATACAGCGTGTTGGTTTGTGAGCTGTAGAGGCGCGTAGGTGGATTTTGCTAAGCTAGCTGTTTCCAGTCTTGTTTCTTATTTACTGTACAGACACGAGAGTGATGTATTCGTCTTCTTATCTAACTCTCCGTAAGGAAGTGAATAAGTGTATTTGTATATATTTTGGACAGAGCCGCCTGTTTCCCCTGTTCCCAGTCTCTATGATGAGATAAGTGACGGCTGGCTCCAGCTTCACACTGAATGAACAGCTGTGAGGGAGGTGTTGATCTTCCGCTCTGGGCAAGGTAGCAAATCTGTTCCCACATGTCTAACTCTTACTTTAAACTTGGTGTTTTATTTTTCTTGATTTTTTATTGAATCTCAGAGTTTACTCTTCTGGATTATGTAATAGTTGATTTTTTCCATCTTTTAACATTGTGCAGGGATCTCTGTAAAGATAAATGCAATAGGTAATCTTTTGTGCCACTTTTAGGTTGGGGTTACTCTAACATATCATCACCTTTTCAAGTCGATATGGGAAACTTGCTGACAAACAGTTGCTAGGTTACACATCTAGCAGTTATGGAGCAACATTAGCATTCATTTGGGGTCATGTGTCTGGTCACCTAGTGATCCCAATATTGAGTTGTTTTAGCTCTTTCAGCTTTTCTGCTCTCCCAAATCCCGGAGGGAAATATTTGACTCTTTAGCCAAATGCTCCGCTGTGTTCACCAGCTGGTCTCTAACTGTGTCTGTCTGCTGTTTGCTACTGAGCAGGTAGTGTCCATCTGGTTTTGTAGGGCTCATTCACTCAAAACAGCTGCTTGCTGCAGCCAAAGATGATGCTGTGAGAGTGGTGACGGGGAACCAGAACAGTAAAGTTGGAGGCCGGACATGTAAACAATGAGATGAAACTCACTATGAAGCTGTGTGAAGGCCGAGAGGAGCTGCAGATTCAGGTGCTAATTCTTTCTAGATTCATCAATATGGATTATAGCCACTTTAAATTACTTGTGATGTAAAACTTCACATGGAAAATAACATATGAGTGACTGTCCAGGAGTTAAATACATGACGCTTTGGGCATGAGTCAGCTTATGTCTACAGGGAATTTTTTTTCAATTAAGTATAACACAACAAATAATTGAAAGTCAGAAAGGCTGCCAAGAGACGGAACTATTTTAGTCAACAACAAATTGCTTTGCTCCGCTGCATAATGCTTCACTAGGAAAAAAAACAAAAAAACACCCAAACCTCAAGGGAAGGGATGTGGGAAATACAGAGCAAGCATATTGTTTTACGGTACACAGTAGAATTACACAGTCCAGACCACAAGCTGAATAATGCAGAAAACACATACACATGCTTCACTCTGAACAATACATGAAAGCCACATAGTTGTGCACCATCCCTTCCTCTGGTGTGCTGTACAAGATGACACAAAGAGTAACGTCAATGCTGCTCTGTGAAAAAGTGACACAGAGATGATAACACAAAGAGGTCAGAGGTCAGGTCTTGACTTCTGTCTCAAATTAGATACATGATGGATCTACTCAGTTCATCCTTTCCAGCATGTAACCATAGAGAAAAGTAGATTTGTCTCTATCGGTAGAGAAACTTCTGTCCAGGGGTGCAGTTACATTTTGAGCCAAAAAGGAAAAATCTACTACATTACTGATAATTTGTCTTTATAATTCACATCTAGTCTGTTGTGTTGAATGTGCCCCACCTGTAGCCAACAGTGTTGTTTCATTTCATCATTTGCTGTAATAGTTTTAAAACTGGACCCCAAAATAATCTATGTTTTCACCTCATGAACTAATCTATGGTTCATCTGCTGAAGTAGCGCGTATAGCCTCAGTTCAAAAACACTCTTGTGCATCTTTGCATATGACAGGTGATCTACTCTCAAAAATATTTGACACTTCTGTCATAAAGCCTGGGGTGAAGCTCCGAGGCAGAAACTGTACAAATTACATTTCTCTCCTTCGTATAAATACATCGATGTGTACAAAACAAATCTGTGGCGGCGTACGTGTGGTTACTGTTCTGAAGTCATCAGATACAACGTGCCTACACCTCACACTAACTTGACACTCGTCTTACATCTGTGTGTCGATTGTATTCTCACGCAATTAGTTGGCGTCGTTTTGGAAATGTGATCTTGAGTTTTGATCTGATTTTGTGTATTTAAGATTTTCTGCTACAACATCACGTTGTTTTGAATGTTTATGAACGTCTGAATCAAATTTCATCTCAATCCAATTCCTTAGGGGCCAAAACCACAACTGGCAACCACATGGTGGCGCTGGAGGAAAAGTAAAATATATAAGTATAAAACAAGTATAACATTTTTTGCCAAATCATCTGGTTTGATGTTGAGACGTTTCACAGGATGAGTGAAAAGTGTAAAACAGGAAAAGTCAGTGGATCAACTCTTCCCTCTGAGAATCGATCAGTAAATTGATTTGAACAGATTTGTTTTCCACCAATGTGCAGTTACCATTTTGGTGCAATAATATAATTCAATCTGTACAAATTCACTGTAACTGTAAATGGCATGTAAACATTAACTATGTGTATACTGTTTATTATTGACAGGGTCTATTTTATTTATTTATTTTATTTTTTTTAATGTAGTAGTATTTCTAGTATTTCTGAGTCTGATCATATTAGTGATCTGGATTCATCCTCTGGGGAACATGTAGTCGTCGTATCTTCCTACCTTCCAGATCATCCTCGCGGTTGTTAAGTCGTCACTTTTGTGCGTCAGTTGTATTTTTATGTAAATACTTGGAGTGTTCTTAGAGAGTGTAATTTATGCCGCCCCCCCCCCCTCGGCCCGCCACCGCCCCAGCCACGCCGCCCTCATGTTGCACCATCACTGAAAAGTGCTGTAGTCAGTTTACGCTCATTACACCCAACAGTTCCATGGAAACAGGTCAACCTTTACGTGATCACTTGAAAGAAAATGATGATAATAATACAGACAACAATAACCCACATAGCGTAGGCTGGAGAATACTGCTCCTGGATTCACGGTTCAAACACAAGCCCGTACGAAGGATAAAGCACAATGTGGTGGATGATCACACTGGAATGGATCAGGATGAAAAAAATACTGATGCTGCAGGAAAAAAAAAAACAAAAACACGTAGCTGCTCAAACTGCTCTCAGAAAACAGACTGGACTTGGATTGAATTTTTCTGTCCTGACAAGTGAAGAGGGGGTTTGTGACTGTGGACATCCGGTGACTGGTGTTAGCTGATGATGGTTTGTACCTGAGCAAAGCACATGCAAGAAGAAAGCTGGGTGACCTGACTAGGCATTCCCAGATGAGTGCTCTTCTTATATATAAATATATATGCACAGGATCTGATGTAAACACCGCACTGTGTTACTGAAGTAGGCCACAGAAACTCGACATGGAGAGGCAGAGTGGGGGCGAGAGAAACACTATAGTTTTAAATATATCACCCTGAGACTGTGAAATCCATTCACATCTTCCTCTGCTGTGGGGAAGCGTGTGCAGAGGAGTCCTTTTGTTCCTGAGAAGTGTCAAACATGGAGATTACGTTCATGCATTCTGGAGCTTTTCATCTGACACTGGAATAAAAGACAATGACCCGTACAGACATGTCCTACATTAAACTGCCACTGAGTGAGGAGCGCTGCGCTGCGGAGAAGCACGGTTACAGTCCGTGCTTTCAACAAATATATAGCACCTCATTAATTATGGATGGTATTTCTTTAGCCAAAATTAGGTTATACATCGTTCGATTCTGGACAGATAAGAGCACGATTCATGTTACTCTGCTATATCCTCTCCTCCTCCTCCTCCTCCTGCTGCTGCTGCTGCTGCTGCCCCTCTCCCTCCCCTTATCTTTATCCTGATCTCTCCCTCCTCCTCTCCCCCTTGATTACCTGCCCCACTCTTCATCTCTCTTTTCTTTTAATTTTACATTTCAATCTGCTCACTTCATGCATCATTAAAGGCGTGAACAGGTACCTAATGTGTAAATGTTGAAGCAGGAGGAGCAGGGAGCTCTGTGGAGTTTCCCAGACTCCACTCCTGGATTGAGATTTTTAGTGAATACCCTCACTTGATGTTGTTGTTTACCGAGACAGGGAATCTAACTGCCAACATCCAATCTCTCTCACACACAGAGCCTTCGAGATAACTCACTTGTTCTCATGCAAAATTGAAAAGCCTTGCTTTCAGGAAGCACTCATGCATGCCCAGAGATCCTGAAAGGGACTGCAGAGTGAAGAAGAGACAAACCTAGTCATGAATGTCAACTCTGATCATCACTTATTGCAGCAGCTGGAGAATCTTAAAAAGGGGAGATCCTTCTTTATGCCTTCAGAGTCCCATCATGGGACCAAAGGCGGCTCCCTGGGATTAACTAACCTCTGTGTTGTGTCAGCTGGACGCAGAGGATGATCTATGTGTTCACCTACCTCCAGTTTCTCTATGCGGTCTTTGAGCTGAGTGATAGCCTGCTCCAGCTCATCCACAGCCCTGACGGTGAGCAAGTGGACACTGTCCGATGCGTACGCCGGACTGTCCCGCACCATGATCCGCTCCACATGCGTCTCCTCCGCCGCACCTTTGCCCCCCCACAGCCCCGCAGCGCTCCCGCGTCTGTCCGCGCCGCTGCTCCTGCCGTCCAGCCCCCTCTCACACTCGGATAGTTTCCCCGTCAGCTCCCTGATGGTCCTCTGGTCGTTGAGTATCTGGTCTTTTTGCTGCAGGACCGTCTGCCGGAGCTCCTCTGCGGTGGTGCGGAGGTAACCCCAGTCTTCGCCCGCGTACAGCGACGGGTCGTCCGCTTGTTGCTTAAAGTTTTTCGGGTTGCACTCCCCGGCGGGGATCGGCGTGCAGATGAGCCGGCTGACCGTCGGGTCATGCCCGGTGAGTCCAGTGACCCCATCCAGCCCGCTGAGCCCGATGTTGAAAGTGGGCGCCTCTGAATCGGGTGTTTCAGAACCATGGAGAGCGCCCAAAGACCCGGCCCTGGCTACGGAGCCCCCGGCAGCGGGGGTCTGCGCCGCCGCGTCCGGATACAGCGAGTGGTTGTCGGTTGCCGGTTGCTGTTGTGCCGCGGCAGCCTTGGAGGATCCGGTGTGGACGGCCGCGATGATGCAGATAACCGCTCCGATGAAGGCCACCATCCCGGCGGCCAAGATAATAACAATGAACTTCAGGGTGGCGGCGGGGGCGAGCGATTATTAGAAAAATCTAATAATAATAATAATAAAAAGACTCCTGATCTGTAAGAAACTAAAAGCTCCAAAACAACGAAAAAGTATCAAATTATCTTCCTGCATATAAATGGTGGAAAAACCCCCCTTCCTTCACTTTCCCCCTTTTCCACAAGAACAGACGATTAGAAAACGAGGGTTCCGCACCATAATTGAGTGATGATGGAGTCAACACAGACCATCAGGAGCAGACAGTCCGTGTTCCACCTCCTCCCCCTGTTCAGCGCGCATGTCTTCGGTATTCAGGCAAAATCCAGCCTGTTAATACTGAAGCAGAAGGAGAGAGAGAGAGAGACAGAGAGAGAGAGAGAGGACTGCTCCATTCAGTCTGATAGCACACTTTTTCTACATTTCATCTCCCTCCTGCAGCCTGCAGCGAACTTTTCCAGTGGAAGTGACTGTGATCTTTATGGTGTCTTATTGTGGACAAGAACACATCAGACTGAATATGTTGCAGCATGTGTTGAGAGGCATGCTGTAGTGTAGAGTGCAGCCTGCTCCTCTTTTCTTTTTTTTTCCTTAGCTTTGACTGAAGATGCAGCCCCCCCCCCCCAATGCATAACAAACCTCACTACAGCAGAAAATTAGTTTTTCCTCCCTTTGGCTTCATATTTTCTAGCTCAGCAACACATTACAGGCTCCCTGTGATGTGATGTGTGGATGGCCATAAGTCAGCCTCAAGGCTCCCAGTGGAGCAGCTCCACAGCAGCAGAGATGACAGAATGATTGCCCTAGTGGGCGTGAATATATGTGTGTGTGTGTGTGTGTGTGTGTGTGTGTGTGTGTGTGTGTGTGTGTGTGTGTGTGTGTGTGGTGTGTGTGTGTGTGTGTGTGTGTGTGTGTGTGTGTGTGTGTGTGTGTTGCAGAGCCTGATACAGAGCCGATGTTATTAGTGAGCTTCATTAAACCATGCTTGCCAGTAAAAATGCACGTTACTCTCAGTGTGATACAGGCACATGTAATTAAAACTGATCTATTTGATCAATTTTATTTTATTTCTATTTATTTGATCTCATTTACTTTATTGCTTTTACTTCCTCTGCACTTTTTCCTTTTTGTAAAGCAGTTTGTAACACTGACAGAAAACGGGCGACGTAAATAAAGTTTATTATTATTATAAAACTTAATTAATGAGTGTGCATGACACAGACCTAGTGACAGACAAAGGTGTGAGGGAATTATAGCTTGCATGTGTGTAACAGTGTGTGATGAGCATTGTTGTCACACAGGTAACAGGGAGGATTTAAGCTAAGACTTCTTTGAGTCGCAGGCGCTGAAAGCTCTAATTTAAGATGGGCGAGGGAGCAGGCGTGAGACATCCAACATATCTGCTGCAGAAAATAGCTGCAGCTCTCCGTCTCCACTGGAACGCCACAGAATAGTAAACCGGGGGGGGGGGCAGAGTACTCCTGAAGAGCCTGGGAAAAGTATAGATACTAAACAATCACTCCTCGTTTATACTGTAAGTTATGGTGACGCCTGAACGCCACATTTGCGTTCAGCTCACACGCTGAATGTCACTCGTGGCATTTCTGGCTGTAAATAGCTGTGTGGCACTTATTCTTCCTCAAGCGTGCCGCTGTAATGTTCCTAACGCTGGCTGCAGTGATGCTCGCAGAATTTATTTCACTGTTTAATGATGATGAAAGTCTAAACACTGTGAGTCTGTACGTAAATGTATTTGATGATTAAAGTGTTGCAGGTTTCATTTTGCTGAAGCGAATGGCTGCTCAGCGCTGCAGCGTGGTCCGTTTTCAGTCCACAGACCTTTGATAGGAGTGCATTAAAAGGCCAGTACATTCCCTCTGCTGCCCAGTTAATGATCAAAATATACTGCTGCTCTATTATGTCTATAAAAGCCTCTGTTGGAGACTCTTTGCCAGCGAGTCAATTTATCACCCAGGTCACCCCTGACCTTTATGTCAGGGGCTGTGGGGATGTTCCAGCTTTCAACTTTCCCTTTGGTGGATTTTTATTTTTTTCCTTTTGCTAGTGCAGATTTTCCTCTGGATAATCTGTGCCAGGGATTTGGTCACAGCAACTTGAAAGTGTAGAAGCATTTCCTCTCTCTCACACACACACACACCCACCCACACACACACTCACACACACTCTTTGTGAGACTAGCTCTTTGCAGGGACTGATGTGTGTGTGGACAGATATTGAATTGAGGCAGAGAGAAACATTTCTTTTCATATGACGCTCAATGAAAACCGACAATTGGTGTTGATGCAATAACTTCAGCTTCTCAGTATCATTGTTCTGTAGACATTACGGTCGTTGGGCGCCTCGTTATTCTAGCTGTTGCTCCTATTGAATAAACAATTTAAAGGTCCAGTGACAGGAGAACGTGTTTATCTGCACAACAAAGAGCTACTGAGATTCAGCAGTGCTGCAAAGTACATTTACTGAAGTACTTGTACATGAGTATTCCTGTGTTCTGCTGCTTTATACTTCTACTACACTACAGTCCAGATGTAAATACTGCATCCTTTACATTTGTACTTTCATTTAAGTAAAGATTTCCTACACAATTAGCTTGTAATGGTTTATTTTTATATTGTTACTTCTTACATTATAATGTTAGCCTAGCCTTTGGTGTAAGTAAGTTAACCCCAGAATTACTGAACCCATGTTAAAATCACACAATTAAGACAGAAGAAGAGATTAAAAGAGGAAACGAGACCAGTGTGCAAAAAGCTGTTTAAAATTCCAGTCATGTCTCCAGTTGGTTTATGGTGCCATCTAGTGTACGAGCCCCCACCCTCACCCCCACCCCTCTCTCTGCCTGAGCCTGTGATCTATTAAGGTGAATACAAATAATTTAGGAGCCAAAAGTTTCACTGAAACAAATAAAATGAAAAAAAAATACAACACATTCATGCAATATGTCTGAATATAATATGCAATATATCACGGTGCATGTGGCACGTGCACCTCTCTGACAGGAGTGCATGTGGAGTTCACTGACTCTGATGTGTCAGAGAAAGAAAAAAAGCCTCAGTCTGATAACAAGACGTCCATCAGAAGTGTTGCCGTGCACAGCAGTGTGTATTTCAGCCGGGCACCAGGACAATCTCAGGTTTTGGAGAGAAATCAATAATCTTTCCTCCACTCATCGATGGTTTTTGATCAAATATGGCAGAGCAAGTCTTCCCCCCGTCTCTCTGTGTGCATGGGTATTTTTTCTGTCATCGGTGGAAGAAGTACAAGTCTTTTCTCAGTTGAGGTTTGGCAGTAATCAATATTTCTTATACACACACCGAGGCTCGTGTGAAACTGAAAATTACTGACAAAGATCAACATACTCTTCGTTTTTTATCAGTTCCTGCAGAAAAGTTCAGTTTCTGTACAAAATGTTCTTTTTTGCCTTGTATAGTTTGTGCAAGTGACGTGACGTGACGTGATTACACTGTAAGGATTATAGGATATTTAGCACATTTTCACAAATGTTGCTGTAACCAATCAAAACTGAGGAATTTTAATGACATTACCGTATTAAAGGATTGGGATTAAGTAAATCATGGATTTCCAAATCTGCTCGATTTACAAGTGCACTCTGTGACATTTTCATATTCATGTAAGTGAATTTTATTTCTATAGCCCATAATGATGAATCACAGCACCCTCTGTCCTTATGGGAAAACTCCCCCAGTGTCTTCTTAACAGGGAAAAAGTGAGAAACATAACAAAATAACAATAGCAGAATGACAATATGGACAATTAGAGTGACGATATTGGGTAAAAACATTGTGAACACAGTTTGTATGATGAAGATGAATCCAAGAAAACTTCACACCAGCGCCTCTGAAAGACCTGGAGAGAGGACAGTGAACACAGACTCAACGACACCATTCACAAAGACACTCAAGTCACATGTTCATTTATTTTTCTTTCTGTAAATACACAGTAGATGGTTCAGCAAGTAGATGCAGGTTCTTTCCATCTCCATGTGCTTAGAGGATGTGAATGTATGTTGGTGCAGGTTATTTTCAGGTCTACATAATGGCACCACTTGTTTTATGGACAAGAAGTTGTTCGGGATAAGTTCGACGTACGGAGCAGCTCGGGTTTCTTTCTGACCCACCCAGTGTTTACGGATACTGATACCAAACAGTAAAGCCAGGGTCGTCTTTAACAGAACACAAAGACCAAATGTGTTGTCATTCTTGCGTCGATCCGTAGTGCGGATCTGCTGATCATGTACGGCGTGTGTCCTCCAGGCCGGAGTATAAATGAAAACAGCTACTAATCCGTCTGCAGTCGTCCATGTGTAACTGAAGCCTAAATCTGTTGTGATGTTCTATATTTTCCTTGTTGTGAACAAACCCCATGAAAAGACGGAAATCAATAATGAATCATTTCCACTACCTGGTGCCTGTGTGGCCAAGAGACTGTCCTGTCAAAGAATGACCCTGGAGTTTGTCTGTACAAGCAGCTTGTTATGACTCATGGTTCAGTTTCACTGTGAGGTGATTAGAACAAAAAAAGGAAGCTAGGTGACGTAGTATAAAGCGTCAAAGTCCACAAAACACAGGACTTTCACTCAGGAGGCCGCTGGTTTCTTTCTTCTTTGACCTTTTTACAACTGTGCGTTTTATTTTTACCGTGACGCCGAAGGTCCGGTACGCCTGTGTGCGGGTCGCTCCTGTGGGTCGTAGGCGACAGGCGACCCGACGTGTTGTCGGCCAAAGCTTGATGAAGCTCACAGATCTCCCCTGTTGCCCAAAAACTATTAAGGAAGAGTCACACGTGTTTCTTTACAGTACGATGAACACGGACACTGTGTTTTATCTTCTCTCAGTTCCACATACACCACCATTAATTCTAACCCTGTGTGTATTCATCCACGGCTGAAAGTAGGTCCCATTAAATACACCACACATTCTGTTGTTTTAGCAGCTATGACATAACAAAATGTGAAAAAAACAATAATAATAACATAAGACTACACTGTAAAAAAAAAAAAAAAAAAATTAAAAAAACAAACAAACCCAAAATCAAACAAAAAGTGAAGGAAAAACCAAAATATCACATTGTCATAAGTATTCAGACACTTACCACCTGTGGTAAATACAGTTGACAGGACATGTCTACACTGTACAGACAGCTGATGATGCATATTGCAGCAAAAACCAAGCAGAGAGGTGGAGGGAACTGCTGCAGAGCTCAGAGACAGGAACAGATCCAGGCTCAGATCTGGGGAAGGCTCAAAAAAAAAAACCAAACTCTACTGCTCTGAAAGTTCCCAAAAGCACAGTGAGAAGAGTCTTGGTAACAGAGGCGACCGAGAGCCTGATGGTCACTGAGCTGCAGAGATCCTGTGTGGAAACAGGAGAAACTTCCAGAAGGACAAACAGTTTTAAGACGCTCAGAAATCAGGCCAAACATTTCAATCTTGGTTCATCAGACCAGAGAATCTTGTTCCTCACAGTCTGAGAGGAGAAGCCCAGATGCACCGATGGTTTCTGAATGCACTGTATATAGTCTTTGTATGTACATGTGTGTGTGTGTATATGTATATATATATATATATAGAGAGAGAGAGAGAGAGACAGAGTGAAAACAGATCTGTTATAGTCTTGAATAAAACATACACTGTAAGCAACACACACACACACACACAGATGCCCAGACTGTCGGGTTTACAGCATATGTCGGTGTGTTTTATGGTTGAGCCATGTTTAATTATTTACTCACAGTCTCTCTCAGGCCACAGCGGTGTCGATTACCAACCACACTGAGCTGCCTCCTCTCGTCAACTCCACGTCGAGTCCGATACGATCGACTCTCTCTCTCCCTCTCTCTCTCTCTCTCTCTCAGAGGCTGCGGTGCGTTCGCTGGATGGTTGAAGACCTGCAGACGCTCTGAAGGTGTTGTTGACGGTTGCACTGTTCTGGGTAGAAACGATGTCGAGGATGAATAGTGATCAGCTGTATCGCTCCACCCTGGGGATTTACTCGGTAAGTAACAGATACTGTGTGTGGGCCAGTGGCTCTAATTAGACAAGAAACTGAGCGCAGTAAATAACCAGAGTGATTTTATAAGTTCTCGCAGCAGTGCTCTCTCCTGTGCTGCGTTCGCTTGTCAAGAAACTCTTCAGGAAAGTGGAACAGAAACTTTTCTTGGTTACTGAGGAGTAAAGCTCAGTTAAACTTGTTTCATGTCATTTCTTTCTTTTGTTCTTTCTTCTTTCTTCTTTTCTTTTTTTTTTTGCAAAGTCACTTTCAAATTCAAGGAGTATTTCCTTCACTTGATAACTCAAGGATGTGAGTGTTAGGTTGTCTGTCTGTGCTCTGGTGCTGCTGAATCTTTATCTTTTTAGGTGTTACTGAAAATCTCTCTGACTTTCAAAATTGTGCGCGTGCGTGTGCGCGTGCGTGTGTGTGTGTGTGTGTGTGTGTGTGTGTGTGTGTGTGTGTGCGCGTGTGTGTGTGTGTGTGTGTTTCCCAAACAGAACTTGATGGATGAGTTCAACCCAAGCCTACAGAAACTGGTTTCACTGGGAAACAGCTATATCCAAGCTTTCAAGGGTAAGAAACAAAGGAAGAAAGAAAGAAAGAAAGAAAGAAAGAAAAAGAACATAAAATAAAAGAAAGAAGTCACCTTCAGGGTTCTTTGTGTGCAACATTTACACACCTATCTTTATAGTACTATAAACTAAACAGACGGTGATGGCGGTAAACAGAATATGGTGTTGGGTATCTGTTTCACTAGATCTCATTCCAAAGTCCATATGCATTGGGAATATCCTGGTGCTGTTAAAGTCTTGGTTATGGGCCTGTAATTGAGCCCTGGAGAAGCTGTTATGACTACAGACAAACAGACAAACAGACAAACAGACAAACAAGGCCCAACAACTAAATACGGGGATTTAGGACATTGTTTTGAATTTATTTACATTCTAAAGTGAATCCATGTTTCCCTTGAGGTCCTGCAGGAAGGAGAAGGGTTCACACCAGGGGCATGATTACACCTTTAATTTGAATCTAAATGTGGAGTCATTGCGTCTGTATTCTATGTCTTAATTACCCACACCATAATCACCTTTAATCCCTCGACGTGAAAAACCTTTAAAATGCAAATCAGACTCGGCTACAGCAGCGGTTTGACATGGTGCTGCTCTTACACACGATATTATATCATATGTGTTTGTTTACAGTGCTAATGCTACACCATCAACAGCTGATTCATAGCGGCATAATCCCCGCAGACATTAAACACAGATTATGATTCGTCGCCACCTGCACAGAGACTGTGAGTTCCCTCCCTGGGTTCAGAGGGGAGCCACGATCTGTTTCTCAAACAGGAAGTTGATGCTGCTCATCTGCTCCCTGTGCTGTTATTAAAGCACTATCACCCAGGTTTTTATTGTTGAAATCCATCCGCCTCACAGCACCGGGGAGGGTGTGTTTGATTGGTTTGAAGTGGTTTTGATTTACCGTCTGTGTGTTTGAGCTGGTGCAGCTCCACTCAGGGATCTAATGTCGTGCTCAGGTTTAACTGAGGTGATGCACAGTGAGCAGGAAACTACAGAGAAGCAGGTCGACTTCAGAGCTTTCCATCCACCACTAGTTAATAATTAACTTGTAAACAAATATATTCATTTAAGATTAAATACATGTCTCATTTGTTATAAATATGTTATTTAAAAGAAGCTTAACCACTGTTTGCTTTGGCTTTAGTCGTGTTTTGTAGTAACACCATATTTAACAGGCTGTTTTCAAGAGGCTGAAATCTGTCTGAACATTTTGACTTAAAAACTGTTTGTAGTTTTCGGCCTTTTGGCTTCGCAGAGCAGAAATAAAGCCAGTGCCGGTGCGGTCACACAGCTTTCATGTGGTTTCTCTGCGATGTAAAGCTTCTGTTTTTTAAGTAAACACATTTCCAAATAATTGCAGAGAAATGTTTATAAATTAAGGAATAATTTCCCCCTTTTTTGTAATTAATGACTCTGTTTACCTGCTTCAGTAGCTCCATGACTGGGAACATTAAGTATTTGCATTTCAAATGACTGGTTTGTGTGTGTGTGTGTGTGTGTGTGTGTGTGTGTGTGTGTGTGTGTGTGTGTGTGTGTGTGTGTGTGTGTGTGTGTGTGTGTGTGTGTGTGTGTGTGTGCAAGCTCTTTACTGTAACGAGTGAGGCCTACTTCAGTGCACTTTCAAAAATCGGAGAAACGGCTTTCCACACCGTGTCCTCGCGCTCCCTAGGTATGTTCACACACACACACACACACACACACACACACACACACACACACACACACACCTTTACGCGCAGCTGTAATCCAATGATTAACTGACTTTATTTCTGGCGCTCCCGTCCAGGATGTGAGTGTTTTGTCTTCGACATGTTTATGGCCATTTATTAAACTAATTAAACAATGTTCTTACGTATCGCGGAGACCAAAGTTTAGCCTCAGGTGGCACTTTATTACCCCTCCCGTTACTTAAGAATATGTGTGCATGTCATTAATATGCTCTTTGATGTGTAAGTGTGCAGATCCCACCATGAGAAGTTACTGTATTACACAGTATCTACAGCAGTTAGACCCATAAAAACTAAAAGACTTTGACCTGCAGCTCGAGATGAACCGATATTTGTATTGAGCTCAGGTCACTTCAGGTTCAAGAACGTGGCAGGACTCTCTAATTAGATTAGAGTTAATCTATGACATGATGCACGTTTGAGGGTATTTTCCTGTGAGTTGGAGCCCAGTGTTGGCAGAGTGGGTATTGGATAGCAGCAGGTGGCATGAATAATAGACGATGACAGGCAGCGGGTTGTGCTCCGCTCACTTAACCCCGCCTCTCTAAAAACAGTGTCATGTCAGGCTGAGCAGCCGGAGCTGGAGATATTTGTCCAAACTGGATCATTAGTCTGCTCTTACTGTGGGAGCTCAGGGCAACTGTTTACACGGGATGTGATGCATGTCAAAGCTTTCGTCTTCCTCAACACTTCATCGGAGAGAGCAAACTAGATACACACAGCTAATGCACAGCAATAATGGAATAAACGCTCAAAATGTAAAGGAGCCATTTTGACTAATCTCTCTGCAGCCAGTGGAGGCGTTTAAATCAGTCTGCATTCACCTACACACTCTCACAGGTTTTCCTTCAGTGTCACTTTTCACAGTGTGAAGTGAGCATTTATGACACGAGATGTGTGTGTGTGTGTGTGTGTGTGTGTGTGTAATAAATTAGTCAAGGTAATAAATAACTTCTGTTTGAAGATAGTTTAGTATGTTCTCACAAACACACGCCCACTCCGCTCCTTCCTCTGGACAGGGCTGATGTCTTTGGGTCGGGGACGTTAACGGAGGGATGATACACTCCGTCCTCATCACTGTGTATTTTGAGTTATCTGTTACAAATGCAACCGGCAGCATTTTAGTGCTGATACATTATTGGGCAATTCCCTTAATTTAAATTTAAGGACATGTAGAGTAGACCAGTAGAAAAAAGTATGTGGACATGGATCTATTATTCTATATATTGCTTTGGGAGATTTGATGGCCGGTATTTAATTTACAAAAGTGTGATGTGATCCGATATTTAGGTCTCTCTGCTGTCAACACAGGTGTGTGAAGGTGCACATCTACACAAGGAGCCTTTAACTGAAAGCAATTATTAAACTGTCAAAACACTATTGGGCAACTAATTCTATGGTAGAGACTCCAGATCAAAAATCAATGAGTAGCAACAATAAAACTGGATAAACAGAAGTTTAGATTAGCTGTCGAGTCTGTTACGTCGTCCCTCGTGTGAGGTAGACGCAGTAATTACTGTAATCTGGTGACTATACAGAGTTCACAAGACGACAGTTAACCTGACAGCAAATGAGCCGTTGCCTTAGCAACACATGGGCCTCAGACAGCTAGCATAGTGACTAGCTTGGTTAGCAGCTGCCATGAAAGAGAACCTACACATACAGCCCTGGTTTGTGCCTCTCATGTGTTAGCATTCACTCATCTGAAAGGTAATTACTCATCAAGGTCGTTTAATATGACTTACCGCTGTTTTGAAGGTGTATGAGACTCCTTAAAGATTTTTAATCCACAACATGATACAAACTGTTTATGATGAATTAGATTTTTAACCTGTTTCTCCAAGTTTGCAACTTAACACCAACAAACCTGCATTGAGAAAGGCAGTGGTGCAGCATGGGAAACGGATTCAAAGGGTTTTTTTTTATTTTTTTATTGTGCATCAATAGAAATGAAAATGTTTTAACTTGGGTGATAAAATCTGAGCACATTCTGGAGCTTCTGTGAATCAGCTTCACAAGTGCTCAAAAGATGAGAGGAGAGACGAGAGAGGCCGCTGGCAAAAAGGAGGAAGAATCAAGAGTGAATACAAACGCACCCCATGTGTCTGTTGCTAGCCAGCTAAAGCTAACGTCTGTACATGGGGGGCAAATGAAAGAACAAAAGATAAAGATATTATTTAGCAAAACGTCATGTTATTGCTCTGCAGTGTGTATTCTGAATAATGCAACACGTAACGCACTTGTCTTAAAGGAGACGTCCTGATCCAGATCTCTGAGAGCCAGAGGAGACTCACCATGGAGCTGGATGGAGTGGTAGGTCACATCTCGTGTGCGTTCGAGTGCGATGGTTCCGCTCTGCGGTTCACGTGTCGTTTATGATAAGATCTCGTGTGTCGTTCCAGTTCCGCTGGTTCAGTGTGGAGGTTCTTCAGGAGATGGACAACAACATTAGACTCGACAAAGATTACATATCAGTGAGTCACTCAGTTCTCTCATAATTACGTTCCTGGAATTAAAATTAAAACGGTAACTGCAGGGCATCATGGGAATAGTTATGGACCTACGAATCTGTTGTGTGACCCCGGGAGTGAGTTATCAAATTAATTAAAATAGCAATACAGCACACTTAGCTCACAGACATCCTGACCTGACGCTGCAGCTGCTGCTGCTGGATGACTGAGGTGATGTTCTGTTACACAGAGCAGCAGGAATCACTACGAGGTGGAAGTCCACAACCAGACAGCAGCTCTGGAGAGACATCTGAGGAGAGGAACCAACCAGGTCTGTGTGTTTCTCATGGTCTGTCTGTCTGGAGGGAAACCACCATTGCATATGTATTGTTGTACAGTGTGTGAATATATATATATATATATGTCAATGATGTACCCTCAGGACTGCAGTCAGTATGTGCAGTTCCTCAGGGAGAGCCACGGAGAGGCTCTGAAGGAGGAGGAGAGGAGATATCGCTTCCTGGCTGAGAAACACAGTGGACTGATACAGACCATCGCCCGCCTCATGAATAAGGTATAACACCAGCTTTGAGTAGCGTTAGTGAATTCAGTGTTGGCTTATTGACTGCAGGTGCAGCTCGTTATAATGAACGTCAGAGGAAGGCACGAAATTATTCACAACCTAATTAAACGTTTTACTGTGACGGGCAGTTTCTGTGCAGCGCTACTCTCAAGCTAATAAAGCCCTCAGAGAAATATGTTTATGACGGCTTCTTGACCTGTGCCGTCACTCTTTTGGCGACTTTGAAGCCTGGTTGTTTTTCTTTTTCATAATGAGGCTGCAGGAGTGATTCAGGAGTCGAGCAGTTGACCTGTTTGTTGGTTTGTTGGTTTGTTTGTTTGTTTGGGCCTCTGTACTGTAGCTGGCAAATAGAAACCCATGAACCAAATATGGCCTCTAAAAAAGTTTTGTCTTTCATGTCATCAAAATCAAAACCTTTTTTACATGATTCAAAAACAAGAACAGGATCATGTAAATACAAGGCTCATTCCACAGCCCCTCGCCTCATTGAGAACCACAGTTTGAACAGTGCATGGTGCTAAACTGAAGTGTAGTATATATATATATCCAAGATGAATATCACAGACAATCCACTTCTTTTAAAATCAAATGTACAGAAAGTCAATATATAAAATGATATGATAACTTCTGATTTACTTTGTCAAAATTGTGACTTATTAAGTCAAAAACATACTATAAAGTCAAAATTGTTATCGTAATATAATAATGATAATGATATCGTGTGTGTGTGTGTGTGTGTGTGTGTGTGTGTGTGTGGCAGACGGGGGATTCTCTCCAGCAGAGAGCTGATGTCTGGACAAAGGAGGTGAACGTCACCAGACAACCTGAAGCCAGAGGTCCCGCCCCTCTGGACAACACTGTGAGTTCAGAGAAATCAACTGTGTTTTTAATCTTTATCTTTATTAAATACTGGAAGAGTTCGCTGCCAGTGTGAGATATGATTCTGTTGCTGGGGAATGAACTGAGAAGCTCTTTAAGATCCGAGTGTGATCCAGATAAAATGATGTGAAACTGTGATATCTGTGCCACATTTATTCTAATGTCTCTATTAAACAGAGACACAAATATAATATTTCTGTTACCGGGGTGCCCTCTGGTGGAGAAGCTGGGAACCTGATTCAATTTGAAACCATCAGAGTCACTTCTGTCATGCTGAGGAGGATTAAAGCTGCAGCTGAAGTGGAAAGACAAAAATTGCAGATTGTCTGGCATGAATGAAGAGAGTGTGTGATTACGATGAAACTGCGATGAATTTTGTGCAAATAACTTTGTGTGCATCGTCTGAAAATACACCTGCTGTAGTGTCGCTGAGTGAATTCAGACAACTCTCCGTCTCAGTAGAGTGGGATTAACATCGAGGATAATATACAAAACCAAAACCAAACGCGGTTCATTGTGTAAAAGCTGCAATTACTATTCAAGTAAACAACAAAGACGGGCCTGAGATAAACCCTGTGGGTCTCAGTGTGCTCCTCATTGGAAGGTGACACGCCAGTGAACCCGACAGATCCCACGTCCTGCGCTAATAACAATCAGAGGATTAGCATGGATTCTGTGTTTGTTTTGGTTCCTCGTGGGATTTATCCTCCTCTCAGTTCGGGAGGATATTTGAGTTGTGTGTGTTACATTCACATGACATGCATTATTCATTGCAGCCTATAGGATTGTACATCCAACACATCCTACACTGTCTCTGTGCTAAGATAAGCTAATCAGCTGCTAGCGGTACACTGTAAGAAAAAGAAATGTAACTTGTGTTCTTTGGCATAAATATTTACAAATTAACAAGCTGTTAATTATTTTTAGGGTTAAAAAATGAAATTGTGAAACACATTAAAGTAGTTTCTTGCAAGAGTTTCAGTGAGTCCTGGTTAAGTTCTGTTGATTTGTGTTCTTTAGCAGGTGAATCACAGAAATCACATTTCACTGTGTTGACTGGTGGTCAAAGGTCAAAGGTCATGGTGACGCGTTTTTTGGCCATGACTCATGAATTCACACAGTAATTATGACACAATTTAACTCAAATGTCTGTGAGGATTAAAACAAGTGATGACATTTTATATCCTAAAGGTCAAAGGTCAACTTCACTGTGACATCATAATGTTCAGCAAAAACACTTTTCTTTTTCTTTTATTCTACGCTGTAACTCAGGGAGGTGGACTGTGAACATACTTCCTGTTAACTTGTAACTCGGTTGGCGGAGAAAACTGGTTTTTAATTGTCACTTTCAGAACTCGTGAGTTCGATTGATCAGAGGGACGGATCTTGACATAAATAATGGTAAAATTTAAAAATAAAAACCAAGTAGTTCAAGTGCATCATATTTTGAGTCACTTTACTCCTTGAAGTAAGATCGACTCGGAGCCTGAACTGTTTTCACAGCTTCTTTTTATCCATTGTACTTTCACGTTTACCTTCCAGACGTGAGAGTGACATTGATCTTTTTATCTCACACTTGGCAAGCGAAGACATATATTTCTCACAGTGTGTAATTCCCGTGAGGTCGCACCTAGAGATTTCTCAGCGACGAAGTCCTCGATTGTGGAAATGTTACAGCTGATGTTTGTGCCTGAAACCAGGTCGTGTTATTCTGATAACGTTATCTGTTTTCCCCTTAAAGACGAAGGCGTGTTTCCTGGTGATTGCATGGACATCATAACTACAACTGTCTGGATCTGCGCATATAACACGTTTCTTGTTGGTTTTCTAGGCGGGGATAAAGAGGGAGGAGATTGGAAAGAGCAGAGAGGAGCCGCCCCTCGGGAAAATACCATCAAGGGGTGAGCGGTTAATCTCATCAGGCTTTATGAGAAAATATATCACTTCACTGACACCGTGTCTGAACACGGGAAACCAGATGTAAAGTTTTAACCTTTTCAAAACACCCAGCAGTGATGTGATAAAGAGATTCTGATTTCTTGTTGATCACTTTTCACACCTTACTTTTTCTCGTGTCATGTTTTAGTCCGGTTCAGGATGAAGGTCCTTCTGTAATTTTCATTTTCGCCTGCAAATCATTTGCAGGCCGCGGAGCCTCCGTCCGTGTATCAGTAATTCTGCCTTCACTCTACCAGCTGCTTTATCTCCTTATAAGCCTTTTATCTGTTTCTCTCTCCCTCTCTCTCCTCCATCTTTCTCTCCCTCTTCATATTCTGCACATCATGTACTTTCATACCTCCTCATTTCTACTTCCCTCTGCTGAAAGTCTGTCTAATTATTAGGCCTCGTTATCTAGAGTAAAAATAGACTCAGTAACTACGTATCGAAAAGCAGAAAATAAACAATCTCCAGAATACTAACCAGCGCTCCTCCTTACATTCGGCTGAAACGTTGCCTGTTGTCTGTAGCGCTGCGCTGACCCAGCTGACGTTCACTGCATCCTCTGTCATCCAAGCAAAAATAATCATGCATGGAGTGAGACATATGAGTTCTAATCATAACCTCAGAGAATAAGGAAATAAATCAAATAAATCCTGGCCAGTTATAGTTATTAATTAATCGTTTCCCCAGAGATCTGTCGCTGCCGTTGAAGTGGGTTTATCAGCTACAGGAACTTGTGCTTTAACTCTGTCTCATCTCTCCAGCCCCGTCTCCCCAGGGAAGCATGTTTCGCTCTGCTGTAGACTCGGCGGGAGGTGGCGGTGGAGGAAGATCCATGAGGGCCCTGGTTGCCCACCAACCTGCCGGCTCCAGCCCCACCTTGCTGCCCTTCACCAGGGGAGAGATGATCACCGTGCTGGTCCAACAGCCCAGGAACGGCTGGCTGTACGGCCGAGCCGACAGCAGCTCGCGGTGAGAGAGGCTTCTTCTCCTGCACTGCTGTAATGTAATGGAACCATATCTGTGTGTTTTAAGAATAAATAGAAAATAAAAGAATAAATGACCTCTAGTAAATCTCTGAGCTAAATCCAAGCAGCAACCTCTGAGGCTGAAACGTGAAGCTGCAGTTCCTCTAACGACCACTAGAGTCTGGCTCCAACAGTGAGTCAGTCCCCATAGACTCCCATGTTAAAATGTCCAACTTTACAGCAGAAATAAACATGTTTACAGCCTGGTACAGAAACTGTTTTGGTCTCTAGAGCTGATTTCCTCCTTCATGACACCTGTTTATATAACTCACCTGTTTACATTATTAGATTTATTATTTTTATTATTAAAGCTTAAAGTTATGGAGAATTGAGGGCGTGGCCTCTTTGAGTGACAGGTGGGTGAGTGTATGTTTGCCACCGAAGTCTTGGCTCAACACGTGCCCCTCCTCTTTGACCATTTTTGTATTAGCCGGGAGTTATGGGCGGAGTCAGGTACTGGCAAGATGGCGACGTCTCTGGCTAAGTCTTAGCATTAGCAAGCTAACATACTGATTTTTAGGCTTAGTGTTGTCTATGTTTAGCCTGTTAGCATGCTAACGAATTAGCACTAGTGTGACTGACATCTACCAGCAGCACCACTCAAGTGTATCACAGAGTGTAATAATCTTCATCAACATTCATCATCTTTTCATCTCTGTCTCCTTCATTCTCAGTCAGGGATGGTTTCCCGCCTCATACGTGGAGCCAGTGGACGAACCTCCGAGGTCAAGCAGCTCCAGGTAAACAGCCAATCAAATGAACTCAACAGGTGTGACGGTTATTATGGGCTGTTATTAACGTTTGTGTTCGTATCTCACTGCTTCTTACTTTACCAGACATCTGTAGGATGATCTTTATGTGCAGCCATTAAGAATGACTGGAGGGAGGAACCAGAGAATAAACCTACTGCTCAGTGTCTGACTGTCAAACCTAACACAGAGTGTAACGTTCAGCTCCTCCAGGCCGATCCTGTTGTTTTAAAAGAGGGTCAACATGAGACTCAGGCCTGGAATAATTACATGAACTATTTAAAATATTTGGGTGACCCACTGCTTAGAGGAAAACCAGTAAGAGCTTTTCAACTAAAACTTTGCTCACTGTGTCACAGAAAAGTGAAATGTCATATATTTAACAAAGAGAAACATGTTTTAATTTATAAATATAAATGTTTTTGTGTTTTTTGTGCGTCAAGTGAAAACAACATGTTATACTTCTTCACCGATGAAAACAAATTAAATGTGTTTGTAGTTTCAGCAGCTCGTCCCTGCGAGGCGGCAGCAGCTCCAGCAACCTGTTCACCCAAATGGGAAGCAGCAGCCTGAGCGGCGCCGGATCCCCTCCCCCTCCGCCCCCTCCGCCGCCGCCACCGTCGTCTTCTCTGTCTTCAAATAAACACTTCGAGATGCCGCCGCTCGCACCCACCCCCGACAGACGGGTGGAGTCTACCTCGGAAAACAAGGTACGGCGATCAGTCAGTCAGCCCGACCATCGATCAGCGCGGCGGCTGATATCAATCAATTCTCTCTCACTCCATCAAAACTGCGTCGAACCTTTTGAGACTGAGATGTGATTCTAAATGTCCCTCACTTTCTTTCTACAATTCTCCTGCAGTGACTTTGAAACTTTCCAACAAGCCGCCTTTTCTAAAGTCAGGACTGATGTCTGAGGTTAATGATAAGTTTAAACATCAAAACATTCAGACTCATTCTTTAGCTGGTTTCTACCTGCTCGTGATACAGGTTGTTAATATTGGTTTCCTACTTTCTAACAAGCCATCAAGTCTGCAGTGATAAATGTTAATAAGTCATTAACAAGAGGTTTCATTTATGAAGTCTCAAGTTCAACTAATAAAGCACCACTAACGATGTGTTTACTGTGTGACGGTGTTTGCCCGTCTGTCCAGCAGGGGCACTGTGGCAAGGTGCTGCTCTCAATGACACCACATCCATCTTTCTGGTGGATGCAGGGAGGGAGCTCCAGCTGCTGATGGTGGATGAGCAAGGAGGTCATGTGCGTGTGTGTGTGCATGTGTGTGTGTGTGCGTGTGTGTGTGGGGATTGTTTTGAATGCTGTGTTTTGTGGTGGAGATGATCAGACTTCAGGGTGCAGCTGTGTGACAAACCTTCTCTCTTTGATGCTGTTTAAACTCAGTGACGTTTGTTCTAATTGTTTTATAAATTGATGGATATTAAAGCAACATTATACATTATATTATTCTCATGTTTCTCTCCTCAAGTTTCCACTGACACAGCGAAGCATGTTGGCTATGAAACCTGCTCTCAAGCCAGTGATGTCACTGATGAAGCAGATTTATTATTTAAATAAAAGCAGTAATAATAGAGCTAGTGGTTAGTCCATTAATCAATTAGACGATCTAAAGAAATCTAATTTGATCATTGATGAACAATTTTTCAAGCAAAAGTTGTTGTTTTCAGTTTCTCAAATATGAGAATTTGCTGTTTTTCTTGGTTTAAAATCACAATAAAATGAATGTTTGGAGAGTTTTGAAGTTTTAATCGAACAAAACAAGACGTCACCTGGTGCTGGAGGGTATTTTCACTGTTTTCTAATATTGTATAAACCAAGTTTCTGCCCTAATTTATCATTTTATAACATATTATTTTCGAAGTGATATAGATGCATGTGCCTGATGTCTCTGTGTGATCGCTGTTGCTCCCTTCTTCATCTCTATTGAGAGAATAGTGATTTTCAGTGTGTGTCGCTGGACACACACTCTGGTGTGCAGTGGGGTCCGCTGCATGTGTGTGAGGCAGCCTGGCCCAGCACACCGGGGTCGAGTGCTGGAGCTTGTTGAGCCTCCATTAGTGCACACGTCCACATTCAGTGGTCCTGACTGGCCCTCACTCATCCACACCTTCTCCTGTGTGTTTTCCTGCAGAGATCACAACCACACGGATCCCAACCAGAGCTCTTCCCGAGGTAAGAGTGATGTCACCGCAGCTCTGCTTTTAAAACCTAGACAGGTGGTTAGATGTCAAAACGGAGGCCGCTCGTTTTCCTCTTCCAGAGAAGCTAATGATGTTTTTTTTTTTTTTTTGAAGTATATCATGAAGCCATTAAATCAGGGAGCAGCAGATGAGGGCAGGGGTCTAAATGGCACAGAATTGGTTTCTTTCCATTAGAGTTTGAAGTGCAGTTTAGAACTGAAACCATCTCAGTTATGGCCGTTGGGGAACCGAGGCTCTCACTCTCACTTCAGATGAACCGTTGGATGATGATACTTGTACGGTTTGAAATATAATGCTGATTGTTATCACCTCCTCTGTTGGACTCAATCATCGTGAGCCAGATCATTTTCTGATATTGGTTTCGTCTCTTCTTTCAACGTGTATGTCCCTCTCTCCTGTCCACTCTCTGTCCTGAAGGGGCACCAACCCGTTCGCGACGGTGAAGCTGAAGCCCACGTCCACCGATGACAGATCGGCCCCGCGTCTCTATCGCAGATGACGTCTTAACCCGGAAAACAGATCATCCTTGTCCTTGGCTGCACATCTGGTCAAAAGCTGAGTAAGTGGACCTTTAAAGGAGGTGGTTTTTGTCGGTAAAAACTGTGACACAGAGTGTGACTGCACAGATTCACACGAAATAAGAAAGAGGAAATACATTCGAATAACAATTTTAGAGGAATATATTCTTTAGATCTCAGTGAACCAACGGCCGACGTTCACTATCACCCTCTCCTCGTTTGTTTCTCTCCCGGTTCTCTGCTCTTTGATTTGTAAAATACTGAGAACGAATGATTGTGTTGATGTAACGTAAACTACTGAGTGTATCGATCTTAACCTGGTCTCAAATCATCATTCCTCCTCTGACATGTTTGATTTTGTCGGCACTGAGATACTGTCAGCTGAAGAGACCACGTGCGATGACTTGAATATCGCACATCGGCCAGTAAGTGATGATGAGATGAAGAGTCAGTGCTAAGAGCCTGTTGATGTGTGACGTGAAACACATCTTCCTTTTATGTAAGAAGTGTCAGGTATTGCTCAGGGACGGATGCTTTAATGATCTTTTCTATCTTTTATATTTTTGTATTGCCGTGTGAATTAAGCTGATTGCTAAATATTAATTGCATTACGAATGTACTTTGGAAAAAAGGGCTTGTAGAGAATGATAATGTAACCTCTGGCAGCTAATGTACGATCTTATAAAAATAGGATAATATGTCCGAGGCTGAGATGTAATGAAAAATGCAATGCATTCATGGATTATGTAATACCGTCTTCATAGCATCATATAATTACTCCAACCAATGTGTTAAAGCTGCAGGTGGCATCTTATTACAGATGGTGTAATGATAATCTTGTTCTATAATGTATATCAAAGTGTAAGTTATTACATAATAAAAATACTTGTGATACATCATCAGTTAAAGCACCTGATTTCAAATTTTAAGTCTTAATTCTTTCTGTATAATATTTAAATGTATCGAGGTATTGGGTTTTATTTTTTAGGTTTTTATGGTTTAAAGAGTTTAAAGCTCAAAAAAACTGTGTGGTTTGATGTTGCTAAATACTGATTGGAGCACACGAGTTCATGACATCACCTTTTTCCCAGCAGAGCCCCGCCCACTTTAAAGGAGAGCTCCGACAAAAAAAAAAAAAACATAACATAATAAAAACAGAATAATTTTGATGTGAAATAAAATAAAAATGTTGAACGCCACTTTATTTTTTGGGCATTTTTGCCTTTATTCTGATAGGAAAGTGAGAGATAGACAGGAAGTTAGAGAGAGAGAGAGAGAGAGAGGGGATGACACACAGCAAAGGATTGTGGGTCGGACTCGAACCCACAGCCGCTGCGGTCAGGACTAACCCTGTGTGGTATTCTCTCTACCAGGTGAGCCGTCGAGCCGCCGCCCCTGAACCAGCATGTTTTTATAAGTATGTCACACTCCTGACTGTCGTACCGTCTTTATTGAAATGACTTTTTCTACTGTAGCAGCGTTTCCCATGAATCCCCTCCCTCCATCAGCTTCCTGATGACTCACTCTGACCTTCACAGTCTGCTGGGACGAGCAGTTTGCTTTTCACCAGCTTCAGCAAACTCCGCAGCTCTTGTTCCCGTCTCCGGAGTGAGAGACTCCGAAGCTTCAGATCTGTGTTTATTTGCTCAGGCGGTAAAGTGGCCCGCTAAAGAAGATCAGGATTCCCTGGTTGCCTGTTTGCGTCCTCCGCTGGGGATATTTAACCCAAATTGAACCTCAGTGTGAATCCAATTCTGCTAATGGCTCCGCAGCGTGGTTCTGTTAAACTAGCACGGCGCCTCTGAATAAAGACTCTTTGGCGAGGGCGACTAACATGGCCTCCTTCTTTCCTTCTCTCCCTCAGTGAAGTTAGATTCATAATGTGACCTGGACCGGAGCGAGCGCTGATCTCCAACCACACAGTTTGTTTTTATGCAGCTTTCTTTTTTATTTTATTTGCAGCCAGTCCTAATGAATAATTTTGACATTCTTAAAAGACAAAAAAAAACCTTTTTAAATTTGGACCCCTTCATGCATTATTAGGCCGCTGTGGAGATTCGCTCCAGTCGTTGTGCTTGATGAGAGCAGGAGTGACGGCGAAGTAGAAAAAAGGAAGGAAGGAGGAAGGAAAGGAGGATGAGCCGGACTGAAAGTGTGGAGTCAGATCAAAGGAAGGAATTAACACACGAGTCAGAGCGAGTCAGTGTTCTCCAGGCTTTGTTTTCTTCATTTTATTTTTATTCTTTCACAGCTTGACCTCTTTCTTCTTTTGGTATGTTTTACAACAGCTCATTACCAGAGGAGAAAGGGATGGATGGGGATGAATAGATAGATGTGTGGGAGGGGAAAGAAGGCAGCGAATGCAGGAAGGGGAAAGGTGCCTGAGGTGAGATCGACAGAGAGGAGAGAAAAAACAGGAAAAAGAAAGAGGGAAAGTGACAGAAAAGTGTTGACTAAGAAAAACGAAGAGAAAAGGAAATGAGAGTCTTTCTCTTAAAATCTCTGTTTTCTGTAAATATCTACTTTAAGCTTTAAAATGTGAAGTTTATTCCTGCAGGCAAGTTTTATTTCTACACATCAACGGAAACAAGAAACAGTTTGTATAAAAAGGATAAAATAAATAGGATAGCTTGTGGGGGAGGAGGGGGGGTCAGCTGCAGTCTAGTGGGCCGGGAGTCAGGGTGGAGGTGGTGAGGGGTGTAGGTGCTGGGGGAGGGGGAGAAAAAGTGGGCTCAGCGTGGAGGAGGGGGGGTGTCAGGATGAGGCGGTGAATCTCGGAGCGCTAGTCGATCACACGAGGCGATTTGATGAGTTATTCTTTCACCAGGGCGGCAAATTCTGCAAGAGAAGAAGAGAAGACGAATCGTTGTCAAACCGTTGGGAGTTTTTTTTCTCTCAACATCCATCACAGATAAAATTCATTCAGCTTTCAGTCACAAACGCTGCGTCGACGCTGTGTGAAGAGTTGGCTGTGTGAAGTGCACAGACAGTCTGCAGTGAGGGACTGTGGGAACGTTAGTGAGCAGGAAAGTGGGGGAGAAGTTTCAGTCGGATTTTTCTGAAAACCCAAAAGAGGATCTTTCATTTTTCTTTCTTTATCTAATTTTTTTTTTTCCGTCCACCAGATATTTTTTTCTGTTTCATCTTTTCCTGTTGGGGCTTTAACGGCATTAAAAACGTTGCAGTTAATTAGCAGAGACTGAACATTATCTGTTTTTAAAGATCATCATTTTTTCATTTGCTTGAACTTGACTCTGGACTATCAACATTCGACACAAGCCGACCTGCAGACGGACAAGGTGAAGACATGACGCTGCTGAAGCCACCGAGCTGCCCCCCCCCCCCGTTAGCTTGTTCAGTGACGGGGGTAATAACTGTTCATTTAGTAGCTTATGCTTCTAAAGTAGAGAGCAGCTGCTGTTATGTTTACCGTCATTTTGGCAACTGCTGATTCTGACCCTGATGTGAGATCTGAGCTTCAATAATTTACATACGGTCCCTTAATTAGCTCAAGTCGTACGAACCAGGTGTTGCCTTTGTGTCTTTTCTTCCTACGAGCGAGAGTCTTGAGTAACTTCAAACGGCAAATTAATTTGTGCAGATGAAGCCAATTAACTGCACTGAGACGCCCGAAGCTTCTTCTGGTCGTGACCCAGATCGACTGTGGAGGATCTCATGTCCAACGCTCACTGATCCAAGTTCAGTCTTAATAAGTGAGCAATAACTAAATGTGTCACACACTGAAAACAGTCTGCCTGTGTACTCTGTGTTTGACCTTGACCTCGCGACACGCCCCACTAATGGAATTTGATGTCGGTGTTTACCATCGACTCCGATCTTGCCGTCTCCGTCCTTGTCGGCTGCTCTTAAAAAAGCTTTGGTTTCTTTGTCCGTCAGGTCCCTGCCGTCCTTGGCAAAACCCTTCAGCACGAATCTGCTCGGAGACAGAGAAGCAGAAGGTGATCATCTTTGTTTTTCTGTTTTGAGGAGTTTGAGTTTATGTGTGGTGTCGTATGTCGGTCTCACTTGAGCTCCTCCTCCTCTATGAAGCCGCTGTTGTCGGCGTCCAGCACCGTGAAGACCTTCTTCACATCATCACAGGACTTGGCCTTCAGACCCACCATCTCAAAAAACTTCTTATGGTCAAAGGAGTCAGCAACTGCTCACACACACACACACACACACACACACACACACACAATAATATATTAATACAAGCCAGCGGAGGCGTGAAACGAGAGTTGCCTGTTCTGTGTTGATGAGGCCCAAAGGCGAAAAACTAATTGTAAGAAAGCAGCTTTGTAATAAAACGGTGTTACAGTTATAGATTGAGAACATGTGTTTGCCAGAGGAACCATCAGTTCTAGGTCGTTGAGCTCTAACTGCCTCGGCTGTCCGGCTACACCGAGCACGTACACCAGAGGTACGAACATATGTGAAGGAGATTATGAGGCAAAGTCGTTAATATCAGTTTTTGTCTCAACAGTCAAATAGTTGTTTCAGGCTCTGCTCTGTCTGCAGAAACAATCAATGTTCAATCGGCGTGAAGCTCTTACATCAGCTGTGTGTGAAAACATCTGCTTCTATGATGGAAATCAAAATGTGTTCATTATTGTAACCATGACGACAAAGACCCCTCTAACTTTAAGGAAGCACCAAACCATGAACTTTGTTCCTTTTGTGCTTAAATTTAACCAAATCTTGTTTAACTTAGGAACGGCTGGCTTAGGATAGCGTACGGCCGAGCCGACAGCAGCTCGCGGTGAGAGATAGAGGCTTATTCTTCTCCTGCACTGCTGTAATTGTAACTTATTTAAAAATGGACCCCATATCTGTCCGTATCGTGATTAACATAAATGGGATCCCTTTCGAATGGCCTATCCTCGGTCGTTTTTTAAGGAATAAATAGAAAATAATTAGAATTAAAAATCTACATAGTTACTACGTTAAATCTCTAGCTAAATCCAAGCAGCAACCAGGCAGCAACCTATGGCCTCTGAGGCTGAAATGTTAAACGTTGGAAGCTGCTGTGCAGTTCATTTTTTCTAACGACCACGTAGGGAGTCTGGACTCTGCTGCAAACACAGTGAGTCAGTCCCCATTAGACTCCCCTATGTTATTTGTTTTTAATAAAATGTCCCAAAACTTTTGTACAGCAGAAATATAAACCATTCGTTAACAGCCTGGGTACAGTAAGAAGAAAGTAAACTGTTTTTGGTCTCAGTTAGAGAGTGATTCCTCTCTCCTTCCATGACTACCTCGTTTTATTATTATAATCTCACCTAGTTTTACTATTTTATATAGATTATATTTTATCTAATATTTTTATTATTTAAAGCTTTCATTTAAAGTTAATGTTTGAGAGATGAATTCGAGGGCCGTAGTTTTGTGGCCTCTTACTAGCTTTCTAGCGTGACAGTATCTCGGTGTGGCGGTGGACTGTGTTATGTTTTTGCCATATGTCCGCAAGGGAGTCTTGGCTCAACACCCGGAGGGGGCCCCTCCTCTGATTTGAGACCCATTTTTTTGTTCATTTAGCCGGGAGTTACAAGTATGGCCGGCAGTCAGGTACAACTAGTCAGAAGTTGCTGGCAAAGATCGGCGACGTGCGGTTCCTGCTGGGTCTAACAGGGGCCTTAAGGGGCTAAGCTAATGGTCTTAGCCACTTTTAAGCAAGCTAACAGATCACTGATTTTTTTATTTTTTAAGGCTTAGTCGGTTGTTCTATGTTTACGCCTGGTAGCGATGGCTAACGAGAAAAACAAACATTTCTAGCGCACTTTAGGTTGGTGTCAGATAAATGAACCGGCAGATAGCATGATAGTCGGCACACTGACATAATTAGGACAAGCAACAGCATACGAAGTATCGTGTTCTTCGCGTTCCACGTGCCCGCTATAGACTTTTACGTCGTGACTGACAATCTACCGACGAGGCACCACTCCAACAATTACCAAGTGGTCTATATTTTTGCACAGAGATGTGTAAAATAAATTCTTTCGATATCAACATTCATCATTCTTTTGCAGTTCTCTGTCTCCTTCATGCTCTCTAGTCAGGGATGGCTGTTCCCGCCTCATACGTGGGACCCAGTGGCACGAACCCGACGGGTCCAAGCAGCTCCAGGTAAACAGCAATCATAAAACTCAAAAGGTCTGGACGCGTTATTAGGGCTTGCTTATTAACGTTTGTGTTCTATCTCACTGCCTTCTTACTTTACCAGACATCTTGTAGGATGATCTTATGTGCAGCCAATAGAATGACTGGGGGAGGCAACCAGAGAATAAACCTACTGCTCAGTGTCTGACTGTCAAACCTAACCAGAGATGTAACGTTCAGCTCCTCCAGGCCGATCCTGTTGTTTTAAAAGAGGGTCAACATAGGATCAAGTGCCTGGAATAATTACATGAACTATTTAAAAATATTTGGGTGATCCCACTGCTTAGAAGGAAAAACCCAGTAAGAGCGTTTCAACTAAAAACTTGCTCACTGTGTCACCCAGAAAAGCTGGAAATGTCAATAATTAACCAAATAGAAAATGTCTTATTTATAAAATCAAAATGTTTTTGTGTTTTTTGGCCGCTCCAAGTTGAAAAAACCAACATCCACTGTAACCTTACTTCACGATGAAAACAAAATTAAATGTGTTTGTAGTTGTTCAGCAGCTGTCCCCGCGAGGCGGCGCGCTCCAGCAACCTGTCACCATAAATGGGACAGCAGCGCCTGAGCGCGCCGGATCCCCTCCCCCTCCGCCGCCGCCGCCGCCGCCACCGTCTCTCTCTGTCTTCAAATAAACACTTCGAGATGCCGCCCGCTCGCACCCACCGCCCGGACAGAGGTGGATCTACCTCGGAAAAACTACGGCGATCAGTCAGTCAGCCCGACATCGATCAGCGCGGCGGCTGATATCAATCATTCTCTTCACTCCATCAAAACTGCGTCGAACCTTTTGAGACTGAGATGTGATCTAAATGTCCCTCACTTTCTTTCTACAATCCTTGCATGACCTTTGAAATCTCCAAACAAGCTCGCCCCTTTTCTAAAGTCAGGCTGAAGTCTGAGGTAATGATAATTTAAACATCAAAACATTCAGACTCATTCTTTAGCTGGTTTCTACCTGCCTCGTTGATACAGGGTTTATTGCTTTTCCTACTTTCTAACAAGCCATCAAGTTGCCAGTGATAATGTTAATAAGTTATTAAAACAGGTTTCATTATGAAGTCTCAAGTTCAACTAATAAAGACCACTAACGATGTGTTTACTGTGTGACGGTGTTTTGGCCCGTCGTCCAGCAGGGCACTGTGGCAAGGTGCTGCTTCAATGCACACCACATCCAACTTTTCTGGATGGAGCAGGCTAATCCAGCTGTTGATGGTGGGGATAGCAAGGAGGTCATGTGCGTGTGTGTGTGCATGTGTGTGTGCTGTGTGCGTGTGTAGATGTGTGGTGTTTGTGCGGATTGTTTTTTGAATGCTGTGTTGTGTGGAGCATCAGAACAGACTTCAGGGTGCAGCTGTGTGACAAACTTCTCTCTTTGATGCTGTTTAACTCAGTGACATTTTTATATTGTTTTATAAATTGATGGATATTAAGTTAAGACATTATACATTATATTATTCTCACATGTTCTCTCTCCTCAGTTTTCACTGACACAGCGAAGCATGTTAGCTATATGAAACCCTGCTCTCAAGCCCGAGTGATGCCATGGTATGAAGCCAGATTATTATTTTACAATAACAGAGTCTAACAGTAATAATAGAGCTTAGTGGTTATTGTCCAATTAGAATCCCTTAAGAATCTAATTTGATCATGCGTGATGAAAAATTTCAACAAAATGTCGTGTTTTCAGTTCTAAATATGAGTAATTTTGCTGTTCTGTTTTTCTTTGTTTAAATAAAGGAAATGTTTGGAGAGTTTGAAGTTTTAATCGAACAAAACAAGACGTCACCTGGTGGCTGAGCCAGGGTATTTCACTGTTTTCTAATATTGTATAAACCAAGTTTCTGCTGCCCTAAATTATCATTTTGTTATTATGATATTATTTTCAATATTTATGAGTGCATGTTCCTGATGATCGTATCTGTGTGATCGCTTGTTTGCTCCCTTCTTTCATCTCTATTGAGAGAATAGTGATTTTCAGTGTCTGTTGATCGCTAGACCACCACACAATTTGGTGGCAGTGGGGTCCGCATGCAATGTGGTGAGGCAGCCTGGCCAGCACATCGGGGTCGATGCTGGCTGAGCTTGTTGAGCCCTCCATAGTGCACACGTCCACATCAGTGGTCCTGACTGGCCCACTCATCACAACTTCTCCTACACAGCTTGTGTTTTTCCTGCAGAGAATCACAACCGACACGGATCCCAACCAGAAGCTCTTCCCGAGGTAAGAGTGATGTCACCGGGCTCTGCTTTACTTTTAAAACCTAGACAGGTGGTTAGATGTCAAACGGAGGCCGCTCGTTTTCCTCTTCCAGAGAAGCTAATGATGTTTTTTTTTTTTTTTTTTTTTTTTTTTTGAAGTATATCTGAAGCCATTAAATGCAGGGAGCAGCAGATGAGGGCAGGGTCTAAATGGCACAGAATTGGTTTCTTTCCATTAGAGTTTGAAGTGCAGTTTAGAACTGAAACCATCTAGTTATGGCCGTGTGGGAACCGAGGCTCTCACTCTCACTTCAGATGAACCGTTGGATGATGATACTTGTACGGTTTGAAATATAAATGCTGATGTTATCACCTCCTCTTGTTGACTAACTCAATCGATGAGCCAGACATTTTCTGATATTGGTTGTCGTCTCTCTTTCAAGTGTATGTCCCCTCCTGTCCACCTCTCTTTGTCTGAAGGGCACCAACCCTGGTTCGCGACGGTGAAGCTGAAGCCCACGTCCACCCGATGACAGATCGGCCACGCTGTCGTCTTATCGCAGATACGTCTAACCCCGGAAAAACAGCATCATCCTTGTCCTTTGGCTGCACATCTGGTCAAAAGCTGAGTAAGTGGACCTTTAAAGGAGGGGTTTTTGTCGCTGCGGTAAAAACTGTGACACAGAGTGTGACTGCACAGATTCACATCGAAATAAGAAAGAGGAAATACATTCGAATAACCAATTTTAGAGGAATATATTCTTTAGATCTCAGTGAACCAACGGCCGAACGTTCACT